CCCCAAAACCCCAAAACCCCAAAACCCCAAAACCCCTTTTCAAAAATCTTGTTTATTTTAATTAAACTTCACAATGAGTCACGCGTCTTTAAGTCAGGACCATATTGAGTAAGGATGGGTTTTGATGTTTAGAGAGCTGATTGAGAGAAAACAGGACCAGCAGTATAGTAAGCCTGAAGTTAGCCAAATAGCTAGCTTTCAGATAGATGGCCCAGAATGTGTAGAAGGTAATGAAAAGAAGTACCCAAATCCAATTATGGGTTATGTTTTCATTATGATTTGTATTCTGTTGTTTTGATGCTCTCTGACACTGTGAAAATATGTGTTTCTGGATAATCCTCATATTGAAGGATTTGATTATGCTTTCTTCAGAGGGATTACATGTATGCTCAGTAAGTCTCCAATAATTAATTAATAGGTGGAACTATTGCTGCCTGATACTCAAAAGTGAATATTCTGAAAATTTCTCAGCCTATTTTGATTGCGGTTATTATCAGAATTCTTACTGGACTTATTGCAATGCCTTTGTTTTATATAGCGATAAAATATCTTCCTCCAAGTCAGGCTGCGGTGAGCCAGAGTATTCACCCTATGATAGGAATGATTTATGCATATATTTTTCTTGGAGAGAGATTTCCTAAGAAGAATATTGTTTTTCTCATTTGTGCCTGAGGAGGAGTCCTTTTGATAAATTTCACAAAAGTCACAAGTGATGAGGATGAGGTTGATAGTGATAAAGTGAAATATGGAATACTTTGCAGTATTATAAGCCTTATTTTTATTGCTACAATGGTAGTTTGTGCAAAGCAAATCACCAACCATGCAGATCCAATATTTTCTCCATTTTACTTTTCTTTCGGGATGTTCTTAGCTGCTGTAATTTTGATACTATTTCAAAGAGATCGTTTACATTTCGAGCATTATAGAAAGAAAGATGTATTTTTATTAATTCTGAGCTGTATCTGTAGCTATTTATCTCATTCATTTCAGAGTTATGCTACAACTTATACCTTGGCATCTAATTTGCAGCCGCTTTCTTGCTCAACACCTTGATTCCTTCTATTTGTTGATATCTTCTTTTTCAATTATCATTTTCAACAAATGTACTTCGTGGGATTTGCGATTATCATTATCTGTTTAATAACACCAATCATCATTTCCATGACTCAAAGACTATCAAAAGACAAGGTCCAAAACTAGTCCAAATCTGAAACCCATCCACTAAAATTGACAATTCAAACATTTCAACGTTACCTCCACTCATTGGGGTTTTGGGGTTTTGGGGTTTTGGGGTTTTGGGG